AAGCCATATATCTGATAGAGAATTAGTATTCAAAATACATAAGGAACTCAAACAACTCAAAGAAAAACAATCTGATTAAGAAATATGCAAAGCACCTATGAATAGATATTGTAAGAATAATCAAACTAACCAAAGCAAGCTACAGATTCATTGCAATTCTTATCAAAATCCCAATGTCATTTTTCACTGATAAAGAAAAACACAATCCTAAAAATGTATATGTAATCACAAAAAAACTCTGACTGGCTAAGGCAATCATTAGCAAAAAGAACAACGCTAGAGGCATCGCACTACCTGATTTCCATCTATATTGCACTACAAAACAGTAGTAATTAAAGCATCCTAGTACTGGAATAAAAGTAGACACATTGACCAATGGAAAAGAAAAGAGAGGACAGAACTGAAACCACACAGCTGTGGTCAATTGATTTTTGACAAAGGTGTTAAGAATATACAATGGGAAAAGAGCACAGTCTTCAATAAATGGTGTTGGGAAAACTGGATATTCATATGCAATAGAAAGAAACTGGACCTTATCTTACACTATTTACAAAAATGAACTCAAAATGGATCAAAGAAACATAAAACCTGAAAGTGTGAAAGTACTAGAAGAAAACAGAGGAAGAGCTACATGACATTGGCCTGGATGATAACTTTTTTAGATTTCACCTCAAAAGCACAGGCAAAAAGGCAAAAATAAACAAATGGGATTACATTCCAATAAAATGCTTATTTAAAACAAAGGAATTAACAGAGTGAAGAAACACCCTATGGATTAGGAGAAAATATTTGCAAGCCATATATCTGGCAGAGAACTAATACCCAAGCTATGCAAGAAGTCAGCTCTATAGAAAGAAAACAAATAACCTGATTAAGAAATAAGTAAAGGACTTTTGTAGATATTTCTTTAAAGAAGACGTGCAAATGGGTAATAGATACATAAAAAATGTTCAGTATCCCTAACCATTAGGGAGATGCAAATTAAAACCACAGTGAGATATTACCTTACACCTATTAGAAGGACTATCATCAAAAAGACAAAAGACTAGCATTGGCAAGGATTGGAGAAAAGGGACCTTGTGCACTGTTGGTGGAAATGTAAATTAGTGTAGCCATTATAGAAAACTGTATGGAGATTTCTCAAAAAACTAAAAATAGACTTGCCATTGCCATATGATCTAGCAATCCTACTTTTGAGTAATTACCCAAAGATTTTAAATTAGTATGTTGAAGAGATATCTGTACACCATTGCACCACTATTCATAATAATTAAGCTATGGGATTAACCTAAGTGCCCATCAACAGATGAATGGATTTTTTAAAATAATGGAATTTATGTACAAAAAAAATAGTATTCAGCCTGAAAAGAGAAGAAAGTTTCACATTTGGTCGAGTGTGGTGGCTCACACCTGTAATCTCAGCTCTTTGGGAGGCCGAGGCAGCTGGACCACAAGGTCAGGAGTTCAAGACCAGCCTGACCAACATGGGGAAACTATGTCTGTATAAAAAATGCAAAAATTAACCAGGCATGTCAACATGAATGGAATTGGAGAACATATGCTAAGTGATACACCAAACATAGACAGATACCACATGTTCTCACTGATATGTGGAATATAAAACAGTTGAAGTTATAGAAGCAGAGAGTAGAATGGTGGTTACCAGAGGCTGGTGGGTAGAGGGTTGGGGAGATGATAAGCAAAGGGTACAAAGCCTAAGATAGGAGGAATAAGTCTGATTACTTTTGAGATCTGTTGTGCAGCATAGTGAAAATAAATAATACTTGAGTACTGTACATTATATCATTAAATATCCCCAGTGTTCTCATCACAAAAATGTCAAATATTTGAGGTGATGGATAGCTTTATTGCTTAACTTATGCTTCTTCCAATATTTTTAAAAGTATCACTTTGTATCTTATAACTATAATTTGTCAAAATATGATAAAAAATATAGTGAGGAATAAGGGGTGAATGAAAAATAAAATGGCAAGAGAAATACAGTCTATTCTGCAAGTTTTATATAGGTGCTAAATGTGGCCCATGAATTTGTCTGTGGCATGAGCAGAAAGTAAAAAAGGATGAACTACAAAATTTATAATCACCAAAATATGGCATCAAGCCAGTTTTCAGAAAGGTCACAGCTGAGTTTTGAGAGAAACATTTTATGTGTCTCTGCATTCTCAGAAGTGTGCTGTATTAGTCTGTTCCCATGCTGCTAATAAAGACATACCTGAGATTGGGTAATTTATAAAGGAAAGAGAAGTTTAATGGACTCATAGTTCCACATGGCTGAGGAGGCCTCACAATCAATGGTGAAAAGTGATGGAGGAGCAAAGGCACATCTTACATGGTGGCAAGCAAGAGAGCGTGTGCAGGGGAACTACCCTTCATAAAACCATGAGATCTCGTGACACTTATTCACTAGCATGAGAACAGCATGGGAAAAACCCACCCCCATTATTTAATTACCTCCCACCCGCTTCCTCCTATAACATGGGAATTATAGGAACTAAAAGATGAGATTTGGGGTGGGGGACACAGCCAAACCATATTATATGCCATTGTAATTTTCATTTCATTCATTCACTTTTTATTTACTTATGCAATAATTATTTCTTGAACACATTCTGTTTGTTAGGATTGTGCTGTTTGCTTGCAGATAGAATAAAACAAAACCCATGTCTTACAGATAAGCAGGGTCTAGGGTAAAAGAATAATGTCTGTATCTTTAGCTTTCATCACTTTATGTTTGAGTGGGGAGTAAGAGAATATAATGACAGGCAAGAATGGACTTGGATTGAGGTTGCAGAATATGAGGCCTGAAGGAGGATTTGAAACAAAAATGAAGCACTCATGTGAGCTGATGGTGTCTGGTCACAGAAACACCATTGATTCCTTTTACTTGACTACATCTATTTCTAACTACAATTTGTCATCAAAGGATACCTCTAGATGACCTGGACTCTGAGTTTGGGAGGCTTCTTGGATTCTTAGGGGATCATGTGGCTTTAGTGATAAAGGGAAGGAGGGTGGTAAGAGGATGCAAATTCAGTTGGTTTCAGAAAGGTTCTGAACTGTGTGTGTGTGTGTGTGTGTGTGTGTACACATGTATCTATCTCATCACCAACAGAGTGATATACGCCTGGCTGCCTGTCCAAAGATGACCCTTTCACCTCTGTAAATAACCCCTAAAAGCTGAACATAGACTTTTAAAATTGCTTTTTCTCCTTTCTCCATCCAGAATTTATCTAATTTATCTTGGTCTTTTTGGGCTATAACAAAATATCATAAACTGGGTAGCTTATACACAACAGAAATTTATTTCTCATAGTTTTTGAGGCTGGGAAGTCCAAGATCAAGATGCTGGGGGATTTGGCATCTGGTGAGGGCCCATTTCCTTTTTCATCTGTGGTGCCGTCTTGCTGCATCTTTACATGATAGAAGGGGCAAGGGAGCGCCTTAGGGCCTCTTTTTTTTTTTTCTTTTAGAGATAAATTCTCACTATGATGCCCACATTGGGGTGTAGTGGCTATTCATAGGTACAGTCATAGTGCACTGCAGCCTCAAAACCTTGGGATCAAGCGATCCTCCTACCCCAGCTTCCTTACCAGCTGGAACTACAGGTGCCACTATACCCATTTCTGGGACTCGTTTAGGGCCACCAATCTCATTCACGAGGGCAGAACTCTGCTTTCATGACCTAATCACTTCCCAAAAGGCCCTGTCTCCTAATATCATCACTTTGGAGGTTAAGATTTCAACATATGGGTTTTGGGTGTACACAAATATTTAGACTGTAGCAGAGGGAAAGCAGGCAGAATAATTTGTCATAGTGGTCACAGCTCCTGCCCACTTATCATGGCTCTGTCTTTTGCCACCTTTAGCCAGAGCCCCTAGAGAGAGGAATGGTTCAAATTATAATACTTGGGTCTAGTGATATGTCTGTGGGTGACTTTGATCACTTGGACATTCAGCCTATGTTTCTAAGTGAAAATCATATCAAGAGTTATGTTTGTGTTCAGAGTTTAAACATAAACAATGTCAGTCAAATAACACATTGTAAACCAAGAATAAAATTTTAAACTCCCCAACCATCTGAGTGGAACCCTCCTCTCAGCCAAGGGCATTCCAAGGTTAACCTGACAAACTAGTTCAGGCCGTAATGAGAAGTGGGAGCCGGACATGCCTCATTTGTTCCCTCTTCCCTTTTGTAATTGCTGATAGAACAGACTCTAAGTCTAATAAGAAACATTTGCAATTTATTCTCTCTGAAGCTCACTTCTGGAGGCTTCATCTGCATGATAAAGCCTTGGTCTCTACAACCTCTTATAGTAACTCAGACATTCCTTGCTATTGATAATAACTCTTTCAACCAATTGCCAATCAGAAAATCTTTGAATACGCCTATAACCTGAAGCCCCCACTTCCAGCTGTCCTGCCTTTCTGGACTGAACCAGTGTGCATTTTACATGTATTGATTGATGTCTTATGTCTCCTTAAAATGTGTAAAACCAAGTTATGGCTCAACCACCCTGGGCACAAGGTCTCAGGATCTCCTGAGGGTTCTGTCCTGGGCCGTTGGTCACTCATATTTGGCTCAGAGTAAATCTCTTCAAATATCTTACAGAGTTTTTCTTTTAATTGACAGCATGATCCTGGCCTATGTGTTTCATTTTTAATTTGAAACAGTAGATGTTATAGTGATCTTTTCTGGGCTGCTTTTGAGTAGAAAGACAAAGAAGAGCAAACTCATTTGGAAGCCTGGATACTACCCTTGAATTATTTAACAGGGTCCGTCATATATAGTGGGGTTTGAAGGCTGTGTTGAGAAAGAAGCATGAAGGTCTTGGGCATGCTCCTTTGAGAAAGCTTTCCCTTCTCTGGCAGTGATACTCTCCCCACCCGTTTTTCATGGAGTGTTGAGAAGTTGTCACGTCTCGAGTTTCCCGAGAGAACGCACACCACTTACTTTTCTTTGTCTTCGTTTCTTCTTTCAGTCCCAGCAGAAGTGCATCGTGATCTTTGCCCTGGTGTGCTGCTTTGCCATTCTAGTTGCACTGATCTTTTCAGCTGTGGACATCATGGGAGAGGATGAGGATGGACTCTCAGAAAAAAATTGCCAAAATAAATGTCGGTAAGAGGTAACAAACAAAAATTCTCTTTTAGGGGGTGGGCAAGAAATCCAAGGAGGGCCTTGAATAATGGAGAAGAAAATACAAAAGCACACCTAGTCATCCAGGCTCCCCTTGGCTTAAGCTGAGGCGTGAGTCTGTCCACTGGTGCTCTTACTTTTAGCCCAAGTGCTGAGTAATGATTGAAATCACTTTACAATCTGGTCGCATTGTCTACAGGCTGGTGGGAAACAAAATGAAATTCTGTTTGTCAGAGTGGTCACAGCTGCATTTCTGGAGACCACCGTATATGAGGTTTTGGGTGTTCCGTGATAAGCCTGGCAAAAATGAGTGCCCCAAAGGGCAGAGAACGCTGTGCCGGTTGTTACATCAAATGCAAGTTAAAAAAAATACACGCCTCAGGGAAAGTTCCAACTTAAGTTAGGGGTTAAAGAAGTACACATTTCAATGAGACAGAGCTCATCGAGCTGTCCCAGTTTAGTACATGGTTTGTTTTTAATGTAGAAACTACAATAACTTGACTGTTTTATGTATGCATTCTGCCTCTTCAGTTACTTTAGCATTTCCTGGGGGCCATTGTTGACCAGCAGAGACATCACATCATAGTCTCAACCCTGTGCATCTCCTCATCAAACTCTTCTCTGAGCTGCTACCATTTTTTTTTTTTTTTTTCAGTTTCGGGGAGGGTAAGGAAAAGTACCAAAAGCAGGCAGATAGATAAGAGGTCTATTTTTATATATGTATTGCTGCAAAGCTGAAGTGAGGACACTAAATTACAACGGTCATTATGAATTAGAGCTTGTAATCAATTTAAATTGTTATTTTTCCCTGTGGAAAGCATTAACCTAAGACCCCCCACTTTCCTAGCTTAAAATCAACAACAACCTGGTAATGTGTATGCGACTTTTATTCTGGATATTTTGCTTTGAGGTTGACTGTTCTGGCACAGGAAATGTTCTGAAAAGACAATTGGCTTTTTTTTTTTTTTTAACCCATGATACCTTAGAGTCTAGTTACCAAGCAACAGGCATTATATACAGAGCAGAGCATACAAGAAAGAAGTCAATACACATTTTAGATTTTCTTCCTTCATGTTAGAAAGGTATTCCAAAACATTATGTAGCCAGTTCTTAAATTGGCTGACTCCTGGTTTTACCCAACCTTGTCCCCAGGGCAGCCTCAGCCATTGGTCCAGGCCCTGCTAAGTCTGCAGGGAGAGTGGGTCCCAGAGTTGTTCAGTTTCAGGTTCCTCCAGGCGGTCATGGAGGTAGAAGAGGTGAGGCTTTCGGAGATTCACTGTTGAATATTCTGGTGCTGACACAGACCGGTAGGAAAATCCACTGGTCTGCGGAAGTTCTCAGGCTTGCCAGTCTCAACTTAAACCTTTCTCTAGAAGATAATTCCTGTCCTTCCTCTCATGACCTCATCCCTTTCCTGGAGCTACCTGGACTCCTTCCCAGACTTTACCTAAAGGCGGAGCTAACTCTATCCCATGATGCTCAGTTTCCGGTGACTTTGTACTGAAGTCCAGAGTTCTCTTTCCGCTTTTCTCCTTGTGTGTGACCATCATAAAGTGCTGCTTGCTCCATTCAACCTCTGCTGAGATCTTACTACACTATCATTAAACTATCATTAAACTCCCTCTGTGTGGGTGACGCTCCTCACTCCTGAAAGTTGGAAGAAGATCAACATTTACAGCTGTGGGCATCTCATCACAGTTTTGACAGTCTCTCCCCAGGACCTCTTCATCTGGTGTACTCTTTCTTAAATACAGTGCTTTAATTCATCTTATTTCCTCTAATAAGATTCCCATTCTGATTCTTTCTGACTTGTTTTATTTCTCCCCCTCCTTTATATTATTTTGCTACTAGATTACTGTACTAATAGTGGCTAATTTTATCATAATTTCCCACACAAATCTACAAAATATCAAAGGCTCCAAACTTATTTTCCAAATGCCTTTTAATGAGCCTCAGTTGTAATGCCCCAAAAATAAGATCTTTGATCTCAGCAAATAACAGACCTATTTGTTTGTATCTTTGTACTGGATTTCTGGGCACTTCATACCATTTCCCAATATGTTTTAAATGATTGATTTGGCCTTTATAACTTTAAATCTTCTTGACACTTGATTACCTGAGAGGGTGAAAGACACATTTTCTGGTTTCTACTAGTAACCTACATGTCAGCAGGCTGAGGCATCACTGGTAGGTAAGGAAAGCTCAAACTGCTAGTTTAGGTTGCACACATCCTGTGACTTGGCCCTTTTGCAATTCGCTAGTGCCCCTAATTATCATCGTACCTCATTCTTGTGAAAGGTAACCACGCACTGTGAAGTTTTCCACACATCATGTCCTCAGGGACCAGCAGAGACATTGGATCTGAGCTCCAAGTGCTGCTCAATTGCAGAACACCTGCCCTCACGTGAGCACCCACCCTTTCGGAGGAGAGGTCTTCATTTTGTATACATAGCTGCTTCTATCTTCCCTTCTCCCCCCACAGAGGCATCCTACGTCAGTCATTTTCAGTTACTACTCCCCCGCTTATTAGAGACACTATTAGACACACTAGAAGAGGGACTTTTGTTACCATTCCTCCCTGATAAATACACACAGAACCAGTCAGCATCCTTCTCCCTGACTTCAGACCCAATTCTCATGACAATATGGGAATTAATGTCTGCAAAGTATCATTAAGCAAGCTGAGTATACATACAATCTTGGGTTGGCTACCATTGCCATATTGATGAGGATGTGTCGCCTATTTTATCTAGGTAATTATGGCAGCCCCTGCTCCTGGACCTCCTCACACTCACCTCTCATCTTCCTAAATCAGCCCCCATGCCTGGGTGACTACTAGTCTAGGTTGGCTCACTCTTGCCCACGTATCTTCACATTCATTTTAGCTTGCTCACTTGGTCTGAAATACGAAGGAAATGGAAGAACTCAGTGTATCCATCTGTATCTCTGTATCTTGGTTTCTATCTCTAACCTATCTAATCCCTATTATTCCTGAATCCAGGAATTTTCTTTCATCCTAAAATGAATAGATTTGGGTCTGTACAAAGGGGATCCCATGTAATAATATAGGTGGAGTCACCAATGTATAAATTTTCCATAGCAGTTCTCCAGTAAGGAGTGTCCTAGATCACCAAAGCTTGGTCACAGAAAGTACAGCAAGGACCAGACTCACTTTGTAATATACCACCCCTTCACACAGAGACTTTTTATACATCCTTTCTAAATTTTCAAGTTTCTCTATTAAAAAGCTGACTTCTCTACTTTACATTTTTCACATACTTTATTTGCTAAATCTCTTCCTCTGACCTAACATTTCTTTCTTAAAATAAAAAAATCTACAGATGTGTAAATTAATATGAGTAACTCAGCTGCAGCTTCAGCATAGTACACACATAAGTTGGTTCGTCGATAATATGACATTCCTAGAAGACAGTATTGAGAGACCACTTTATGTGTTGACAATTACCTCTTAGTATTTTGTCACTTTCCTGTTTAAATCCATGACCTTAGAGCAGTCTTAACAGACTCAACTTGCTCCAGTGGACTTTAATCATTGTTTGCCCTTTTCTTTTTCTTTTCTTTCTTTCTTTTTTTTTTTTTTTTTTTTTTGAGACAGAGTCTTTCTCTGTCACCAGGCTGGAGTGCAGTGGTGCGATCTCGGCTCACTGCAACCACTGCCTCCCGGGTTCAAGCAATTCACCTGCCTCAGCCTCCTGAGTAGCTGGGACTACAGGTGCGTGCCACCACGCCCAGCTAGTTTTTGTATTTTTAGTAGAGACGGGGTTTCACCATGTTGGCCAGGATGGTCTTGATCTCTTGACCTCATGATCCGCCCGCCTCAGCCTCCCAAAGTGCTGGGATTACAGACTTGAGCCACCGTGCCAGGCTGTTTTCCCTTTTAATGCCCAAATTGTCACTACCTGGCCAGCGCGAGCCCCCTTTTGTACTTTTTGACAGTATTCCAGGTATCTCTTAGAGCAGCCTTGCTTTTTGGGAACAGCAAGCTTTTCTAGTGCTATTTTAAATTCGCTTGCTTTGAGACGTGGTGTTGTCTACTTTCAAATGAGCTCTCGTTCCTTTTCATGAAGACTTCTATTAAAGACCAGAATCTAAGTTCTATGGGTGTCCTTATATTGTCATCCAAGGGTATTGGTGATAGACACAATGATACCACGGGAAACGTTCTTAAACTGCAGTAATGAATAATTGTATAGGACTAACGAACTGTTCGGCACTGACCGAACAGCACTTCTCCCTTCTTCCTTCCCTCTTTCCTTCCCTCTTCCTCTCCCTTCGTTTCTGCATATTCCAGACATAAGCATGTGGACCTAGGGCCAGGTTACCTGGGGTTGAATCCGACTGACCCACCTAGGAGCTTTGCAAGCTTGGCCAAGTTTCTTGATTTTACTGTGCCCCATTTTCGTTTCATATGCATAATGCAGACAATTATTGTGTCTTGTGTGAAAGTCATCATCGGTCATATAATAAATGTTCAATAAATATCCACTATCATTCATTTTATTAAGGGACAAAAGTTTATTGCAGGTGTTTGCAGTTTCCTTTAAGTTTCATCTTACTTTGCTCCAAAATCAGGAAGAACTTATTATAATTTTTCACCTTTTTCTTAAACTATGAATTTTTCCCTTTATCTATATTAACTTTCATCAATTTTGCTTATACTGACAAACCCAACTATGTTTTCAAATTACCCCATTGCTCCCAAATTTAGAAGACCCCATTTGGTTCTGGCTCTTATTTGGTATCTGAGCGCTTTTCTGACTGCCTGAAAAAAAAGAAGAAAGTAGCCTTATTCTTGCTACCCTAGAGGAACTACAAATGTAAAATCCTAGAGCCCCTGATACTACAAATGAATTTCCAATGCACTAAATGAAAAATAGCAATGAAAAGTAGAATAAAAACTAAAACTGTGTCTAGAGCCTTTTATTTTATATCCTCTCCCAGTTTCTCCATTTGAGCTGACA